GCTTTTTGAACTGCCGCTGCACATTGAGTGGATGTTTTCAGAGAACTATCCACAATGACTCCAAGTTCTCTTTCTTTTCTAACAGCTAATTTAGACCCCATCATTTTATATGTATAGTTGGGATTATGTTTTCCAATATGCATTACTTTGCATTTATCAACATTGAATTTCATCTGATATTTTGTTGCCCAGTCACCCAATTTTGAGAGATCCTTTTGTAGCTCTTCGCAGTCTGCCTGGACCTTAACTACCTAGAGTAGTTTTGTATCATCTGCAAATTTTGCCACCTCACTGTTTACCCCTTTTCACAGATCATTTATGAATATGTTTAATAGGACTGGTCCCAGTACAGACCCCTGGGGGACACCATCTCTCTTCATTCTGAAAACTGACCATTTGTTCCTACCCTTTGTTTCCTATCTTTTTGCCAGTTACCAATCCATGAGAAGACCTTCCCTCTTATCCCATGACAGCTTACCGTACTTTGCTTAAAAGCCTTTGGTGAGGGACCTCGTCAAAGGCTTTCTGAAAATCTAAATACACTATAGCCACTGGATCCCCCTTGTCCACATGCGTGTTGACCCTCTCAAAGAATTCTAGTAGATTGGTGAGGCATGATATCCTTTTACAAAAACCACTCTTCCCCAACATATCATGTTCATCTATGTGTCTGACAATTTTGTTCTTTACAATAATTTCAACCAGTTTGCCTGGTACTGAAGTCAGGCTTACCGGCCTGTAACTGCCGGGATCACTTCTGGAGCCTTTTTAAAAAATTGGCTTCACATTAGCTATTCTCCAGTCATTTCTCCAGTACAGAAGCTGATTTAAATGATAGGTTACAGACTACAGTTAGTAGTTCTTCAACTGCATATTTGAGTTCCTTTAGAACTCTTGGGTGCATACCATCTGGTCCTGGTGACTTATTACTGTTTATCAATTTGTTCCAAAACCCCCTCTAATGGCACTTCAATCTGTGACAGTTCCTCAGATTTGTCACCTAAAAAGAATGGCTCAGGTTTGGGAATCTCCCTCACATCCTCAGCCGTGAAAACCTGTGCAAAGAATTCATTTAGTTTCTCTGCAAGGCCTTATCGTCCTTGAGTGCTCCTTTAGCATCTTGATCACCCAGTGGCCCCACTGGTGTTTAGCAGGCTTCCTGCTTCTGATGTACTTAAAAAAAATTTGCTATTACTTTTTGAGTCTTTGGCTAGCTGTTCTTCAAACTCTTTTTTGACCTTCCTAATTATATTTTTACACTTAATTTGCCAGAGTTTATGCTCCTTTCTATTTTCCTCACTAGGATTTAACTTCCACTTTTTAAAGAATGCCTTTTCCCCTCTCACTGCTTCTTTTACTTTGTTGTTTAGCCACGGCGGCACTTTTTTCCTCTGACCACATATCCCTAATTGTCACCTACCACCCCACACTGGAACCCCTATGGGGTATCATCAAACAACTACAACCCATAATCAATGGGGACCCCATCCTGAATGAAATATTTCCTCAACCCCCTCTTCTGGCCTTCAGCTCCCCACACCCCCAGCCCAACCTCTCCAAGCTTATCATCAAAAGCAAACTCTCCACAGACCAGGACACACCAACTCAGAGCAGCACTAGACCTTGCCAGAACAGAAGCAAAACCTGCAGCCATATCTCCACTGCCACTATGATCAACATGCCCCATAACATACTTTTCAAGATCCATGGGTTCTATACATGCTTATCACATGTTATGTACCTCATCCAGTGCACTAAATGCCCCAATAACAACTATGTGGGTGAAATCAGATAATCACTATGGTCTCAAATGAACTCACACAGGAAAACGATAAACACCAATAAACACCATATCACCTATGAGTAAACACTTTTCACAAAGCTATCACTCTATATCAGACCCCTCATCCTCAAAGGAAACTAGCACAAAACTTTCAAAAGCCGAGCCTGAGAACTTAAATTCATAACTTTGCTAGACACTAAAAATCATGGATTGAATACAGAGACTTGGATTTATGGCTTATTACAACAGTCTATAACCCACTGGCAATCCCCCACCCCCAGCTGCCTCCATCCACTTCCCTATAACTGGAGGGGTGTTAATGGGCCACTTCACTTTGAGTGATCCCTTGAAATATGTGTTAAATACTTAAGCTAAATAATCAGTTCCACCTTGTATTTAGCTGTGACACTCTCAATAAGTTTCCCAGACCTGAAAAAGAGCTCTGTGTAAGCTCAAAAGCTTGTCTCTCTCACCAACAGAAGTTGGTCCAATACAAGCTATTTCCTCACCCACCTGGCACTGACACAGCTACAACACTGCATATAAATCCACCAGTGTTAATCCAGCCAGCTCACAAGCTTTAATTAAAAAAAAACTAGCAACAAAACACCATCCTGCAGCACTGTAATAATGTCTGGTCATACAGGGCAGTTCATATTGTAGTGTATTGTTTGTCCATTCACACTGTAAACCTTATGGGGCAGGGATTATATTCCTTTGTATTATGTATAGCACAAAGCACTGTAAATCCTCACCCAACTGAAATGAATAATAAAGCTTTCATGGCCTTCAGTGGAGCCAGGATATTACCCACTGTTGGTTCTTAACAAATAATGACTCCGGGGACTAGGCTAGAAAATACCCATAAAAAGGTAGTAATGTTCATATTCCTAAATCTGGTTAATACCTACTTCACAATGAGAGAAGCTGTAGCAGACAGGGCATAAGCAGTCATTCCAATAGTGTCTGCTGGGCCAGGGTCAAAGGCAGGAGTCAGGACTAGTTACCAAGCCAAGACTGGAGATGGATACCCAGGTCAAGCTGGGTCAAAGTAGAAGGCAGGAGTCAGGATCAATATGGGGCAAAAAACAAGGTCTGTAGTAGTAGCAAGCCAGAGTCTGTTTTGTTGCTCAGATGGCTCCCTAGGGAAACTTCCTGGTTTGAATAGTTGGTGCGGACCAATCAGATGGATGCAAAGTTCTGTTGCTCTGGCATCTTTAGGTCATACTTCCTGTAGTGCCTAACCCTTGTTGGATACTGCTCTGCTTGGTTCCCCAGTGGTGATATGGAGGTATTGGTTGCAGGGACCTGGATAACCGTGGATTCTAAACCCCCAGATCCTTATGGAAGCTTTCCTTTGGGCTGGAGCTAAAACGAAACACCACACTGAAGACTTCTCTTTTATCATGTATTACTGGCATCTTTGAACTAAAATACTGATAGCGATAGCAAATTCTGTTGGAATTTATGAATGCATAATCATTCTCTTTCAATGAGGTGTGCAAATAAAGCAAATATTGCAAGGTGAAATTGTATTAATATTCTATGCTAGGAACATTTGGATGCTAACAAACCATGATTCCATGTCAGGAAAAACACTTATTTAAACTAAGATAAGACATATTCACATCTCTAATTATAGAGATTTCTTTTTCTTTCCATAACCAGTCTGAGTTTCTTAAATTGTACATCGTAGTTTCTTTTCCATATATGCCTAGTTAATTGTCATAATTTTGTCAGGTACTCTACACGTTTTGCTGATGACTTATTAAATTTTTCAGCTCCTTTCAATACTTCTACCTGTCTAACAGCATTTTCCCAGTCTGAATTTATCCTCTTCATTGAACCCGTGTCTTCTATACAGCTCACTCATTAGTTCTTTTGCTTGGTTGCTGATCTTTACTTGTTTCCTCTAGACACTTGTTTCCTCTTATCTTGCTTATAGGAACTTGCTCTGTCAGAGGATTTCCTGATTTCTCACTCTGCTTCTTTCAAATCTCCCCCATCTTCCATTGTATATTGTTGATCTTGAGACCAAGGAGCAATGCACTCATAATACCATAGACGTGCTCTAGTCTTGTAGATATCTCAAAGATCCAAATAGAGATGTCTATTATGCCTTTCTGACTTTTCAAGTCAGAAGTAATTCCTTTACACTGAAACCATATATCCATTAGGATAGGTAGTGATAGGATCTCCTCTCTGGCTTGTTGGTCCTGGGAGTTTTGGAATGGGATAACAAAACCAACCAAATTCATCAATCTATCTGTATAATGTCACTGCAAAGAACTTACACATGGGGGAAAAGTGGACTTAAGTATTTTTTCTCTAAAGATCATAAAGCATGTTATAAACATTAGTTAATTAAGTCTCAACCCTGTGAGGTAAGTGATGGAAATATAGGGAACAATCTCACAGCTCTTATCCAGGAAAGAAGTCCATGTTATTCATTAAATTAGTTCCGTTGAATATCCTTTGAAGTCACAGTGAATCAATAGGAAGGGCACAGTACTGGAAGTCAGAAAATCCTGGTTTTATTCCCAACTCTGCCTTTGACTTACTTTATGACCTTAGGCAAGTCACTTCACTTCTCTCCACCTGTTTCCTCATCTGTAAAATAGGGGTAATGACACTGATTCATCTTTGCAAAGAGCATTACATTCTATGGATGAAAAGCACTGCAGAGTATTACTTGTTATTACTATCATCCCATGCCTGGACAGCTGTTCTAACAATCTCTTCTAATTACATCAATTATTCAAAAGGTTAAAGAAAATACCACCTCAAACATACAAATAGGAAAAACTGGGGGGTGCTCATAATTTACAGCTGCCAATAAGGAGCTTTAACTCTTGGGACCTGTACTTGTGCAACACAACAGATCAAGCCAATCTTCAAAGCGTGGATTTCTTTGACTGGGGAGTGGTTCTTGTCCATTATATTATTGTGACTATTATACACTATTATTTAGACTGTTATGATTAAGGGTGACTTAGAGCTGTGCCATACAAGAGCAGCTCTGGGAAGGAATTATATCTGAGGCACACCCCTAAAGACTTTATCTGCTCTACAGAAGTATGCTGTGACTGCCCCTTGACAGGTACAGCGCACTTTTCTCCCTGCCCTCTCAGATTGAGCCAGCTCTCTGAGCCAATACCTGGGATCTGGAAGGGATGAAGCCATGGCTTCATCTACTACCTATCCCTTTTTGCCTGTTTGCTCAGCAGGTAAGCCAGTGAACATTCCTGCTAACATAGTGCTGGAACTAGGGGTACTGGGAATGCTGCCGCACCCTCGGCTTGAAAGTGGTTTCCGTTACATACAAGGTTTACAGTTTGGTTCAATGGCTCTCAGCACCCCCACTATACAAATTTTTCCATCACCCCTGCCTGCTAACTTATTTGCTTGAATATTTGTAGGAATTTCGAGGCCCTACTCTGACAAGGTTCCTATCAGAAATCAGCCAAAGAAAGTTGGCTGGGCTTAGGGGCATGCAGAGATAAATTGGCACTTACTTTATTTACATTAATAACAATAGATAGATAGATAGATATAAAAGTTGTGTATAATTGAATGTTTCCTTCACATCACAACTCCATAGATGACTTGTCATTTTAAACTGTAAATTCTTCATATTTGTTTGTACAGCCATAATGCAATGGGATCCCAGTCCTGATGAGGCCTTCAGGCACTGCGGTAAAAAAGCATTAAATGATGATAAGAACAAATGGAGTAGAAACACAGTGGTAGCTAATCCGTTTAGACATCTGAACCAGTGGTTTTGAAGAAGCTGATATAATACTTACCCACATCACCTCTGAACTTGCAAACAGAGAATTGTAGAATTCTAGAAGTTAGAGATGGGAAAGACTTATTAGGTTAGCCACTCCATCCTCCATCAGCACAGGATTGGTTCCTCTAGCACATTTTCTAGGCTTCTGTCCAGTCCACTTTTAAATGTAAATGTGATGGGGCTTTCACCTCTGCCCTAGGCAATATCACTTTTAATAATTTGTTCCACCTAAATTTTTCCCCTCTTAATTGTATCCCAGTCCTCATATTTATACCCTCCATATACCATACCGAACAGTTTCTCTCAATCCCTGATCTTCACACACTTCAAATGTGTATTGACTTTTACTATGTTCCCCTCATACATGCTTAATCATCTCTTAGTCAAGCTATATATTTAATCGCTTTTAATCTTTCCCCATAGATCAATCCCCCTAGCCTCCTGATCTGTTCAGTTGCCCTTCCCCTTCCAGTTTCTCATTAACTTTAGGGTAATGGAACATTTTAATCCTAAAATCAAGTGAGAGTCAAGGGTCTATCACCAGAATCCAGAAGGAAAACAGAAGATTCATCTGTCTTCATCATTATAAGGGAAATGTTTTCATCCTATCTATTCCCAGGTTGCCAGCATTTATTCCACTATCACTATAGCCAAGGGGATTTAGTTAGGTCTGGCATAGAAAGGGTTGGTACGATCTCATATTCTAAAAATAGGAATCCATTCAGAAGCTTTAAGATAGAATCCTTATGTTTTGCTGTACACAGTATGACACTATAACTAATTATACGTCTGTAACTAATTATAACTAACTATAGGTCTGCTTCTACAGGGTCCATTCTGAACTATACAGTAGTTTTATAGTCTTGTACTTCACAGTTCCAGAAAGTCCTGAGGACAGAAAAATGAATAGATGCTCTGAGCCAAAAGGAAATATTATGCAATATAATGTTATATCAAAAGGTGCCAGGCAAAATAAATTAATATCTTGTTCTTATATCTCATATTATGTACAATTCTAGCTAAAAGAATACTTTCCCTCCATAACTTACCTATTGCAAGGCTCATTTGAAGTTAGAGGAATATGCCACATCGTTTAGCCTGAAAATAAGGAACTGCTTTACACTACCTGCCACCTACAATTATTATAATCTGGCAGACAAATATAATTACAGCATGTGATGTCTGTTTATGTGTGTGAAGGCTTTGATTGTGTAGTCTTGTCAGTATTACACCACAACACAGCATAAACAATTACACTGTGTAGTAACTGTAATCCAGTGCTAATGCCCCCAGCTATGGGTGTCACATCAGATTGCATGGATTTGTTTGATTCTTATAACGCCATTTGCAGGTGAATTTCACCACAATGCAAATAGTGTGGTCCTGTTTTGTAGGTCTCTGGAAGATCATTAACAACTATAGAAATGAATGTAAATTAGCTGAACAAAAATATGCAGAATAGATTTACAATTATCCTAGCATTTTGTTATGATATAGGCAAAAGGAGTAGGGATTCCTGGATCATTTTAATGATTAAAATTTTAATTAGATGAGAACTCTTGGGTTCTAGAGACAGTTATTTTTACAGAGTACATTATGATTGTAATTTGTTATTAGAATATTGCACCAACTGACAGAATAATAAAGGTAATAATTATTAGAAACCTTAGTGGTGTTTTGGTCAAAATAAACCAATAGTCAAGTTGTATAGTTATTTCTAACAAAATTGTAACAGTATCAGGTTTAGATTTTAGTATGTTAAAGCCAATAAAACTGTTCGACCCAAAAAGGGGCTTGTGGTTCTTTAAGGGTTCTCGGTGAAGGACTGAGTTGAATGACCCAGGACGAGGGGGAATAGATACAATTCAATTTTATTATATGATGATAATTATAATAAAACGTTAATTTTATTAATTCTTATTAACTTGTTATTATACTATGTAACAGATTTTAAGCAACTATAATTACTATGTAACTAAATTTGTAACACTTGCAATTATTATGTAACTAACTTTAAAACACTTACAAGATAAGGGAAAGGAAACATATTAACAATTGAGGCCTTTTTCAGTCTAACCACAGTATGGGGTAACAAGCAAAGTAACCACAAACAAAGCAATGATAGTTAACTAATTACTTACAACCATGCAGATAACAGCCAGATGGGAGAGCATATACATAATGAGTTCAAGCCGGCTATACGACACACACTCAGGCTGGATTCGGGAGCGGGAGGGTCAAGCCCAAGTTGATCAGACCTGGACTGGCCGTGACGTAGATTAGTTTTCGGGACACCTCTAATTGCTCTACAGGGGCGACTAAGTATATAGTTTTTTGGAAGTGAATTGGTTTTTTAGTGCCCCACTGTCTTCCCCTTATTAGGAAGAACAGTACAATACGGAAACTGCAGAAATGGCTTTTTTTGTGTGGTAACACTAGGGACACGTCCCTCATACGTTTCCTGTGATAAGCACTATGCCCTAATAAGGTCGTGCAGTCTATTGGGCCTCTTTCCTGGCTTCGGGTCAGCTGCGGGGTTGCGAAGCGGCCTGGCCAAAACGAATAGGGCGGGGGGGTATACGCTGTATTAACAAAAACAACAAACAAGATCTGTTTTTATAACAAATTAAATTCTGTTTTTTAAATAAAACGATTAATCTTGAGCTGCATTTTGCTGGATATATGCTCACAGCACAAGACCAACAGTAAGTCAGGTGGTTAGAACAAAGGATTGGGTACCTGGACTCCTGGGTTCTTTCACTTAGGCCAAAATATTCAGAAGTGTTCACTAAGTGTGGGTGCCTCAATTTTGGTGTTAAGTTTAGAATCTCCAGGCCAAATTCTCATTTACACTAAAATGCCTTTACCCCACTCTGGTGACATAAAACAGCCATAAAGTGAATGTGAATGTAATGAAGTTGTGCTCAGAACCTTTGAAAATCAGGCCCTATGAAAATCAGGCCAGAAACCCATATTTAGGGGACATTGTAGAAAATTTGAGTTCTAACCCTTTTGTGCCCCAGTTTACCTATCTCTCTCCTATGCTCCAGCCATTACTGATCCACTGTGCTGTCCTTCCACCCTACCCACACCTTAGCAAAGATTATGTTGCAGTATGATGCCCTGAACATTTTTTTAAAAGGCAAAAACAAAGCATAACAAAAAGAATGTATGCACCCCACTACGAGGCATTCAATATGCCTATATTAACAAAAGTGTTTAAAGGTTGGGGGGCTGGCTGGGAATGGAGCCAGGGACCCCACATGATCTCATTTGTCCCCTGCCATCATCACCAGCTCCTGCTACTCCATTGCTCACTTACTGTCTTTCACTCTTAACTCACTTGTTGTCTTTCACCTCTTAACCATGAAAACTGGAGGATCTTTCTTATGCTGGAACTCCTGGTGGGAGAGGATGATGCTGTGAATCTTTCTTAACAAATGTTAAGTGCTTTAGATCCTCTAATGAAAGGTGCTATAGAAATGCAAAGTATTACTACTAATAATGAAGCAAAACACACTCAAAACCTTTCTTTGTTTCAATAATTATATAACTATATATTCAACTTTATAGAAATTGCTCTGGAATATATTATGGGCTTTATTTCAGTCACCATCTGCATAAATAATATGCCACTTTATGCAGCCTCTTATATATGGAAAATCTTTTTCCCAGCCTCCATAAAAGTATACAATGAAAAGAAATGGAGGCCTAATCTTATTATTCACTTCTCTTTTGTTACGCTGCTAACTTGCCACTATGCCTTCGAGGTATTCAGAAGTAAAATAAGGAATGGAATCTCCTTAAAATAAATAAATAAATAGTGTCCAGATCAAGCAAATGAACTCCTGTATTGTATCTGTGGAGAATAAGCACTCTGGAATACTTTCGAACATTTTACCAATTCCCCCTGTCCAGTCCCAGCTCTCTCTAAACTTTGTCCTACACACAGATTTTTTCATCATTGTAATTATTATGCAATACAAAATTAAGAATATTCCTAACAATCCCACAGAAAGGGAGAGAACAGGATTCCAGAGGAAATCAAGTGGGGTGTTCTGTAAACCCACGCTAATGATGGAAGAAGAGGAAGAAGCTGCAAGTTGAGGATATAAGTCTTAAGTAAATTTTAAAGCTCGTGCTAGGTGCCAAGTTGACAGCTCTTGAGTCAACAGCCCATGTTTATCCACAACGATGGTATAGCACATATAGCACCAAGGCGAGCTTCTTCACATAGTCCCACTAGTGTGTCTAAACCTTAATTTGTAGGGACCAAGACTGAATCCTCACTCTGCCAATTAGTAGTAACTTTCTTGGTTCCTCTTTTCCCTGACCCTCTATCTGTTTAGAGTATAAACTCTTGGGAGATTCATAGAATCTCAGGATTGGAAGGGACCTCAGGAGGTCATCTAGTCCAACCCCCTGCTCAAAGCAGGACCAATCCCCAGACAGATTTTTGCCCCAGGTCCCTAAATGGCCCCCTCAAGGATTGAACTCACAACCCTGGGTTTAGCAGGCCAATGCTCAAACCACTGAGCTAAGTACCTTTTACGTTTAAAGAGTGCTCAGCACATTACTCCTGAGGGCATTCTGCGCCAAAAAAATAAAAATTCTGCACAATATTTTAAAATTCTGCAAATAGTATTTGTCAAATAAATGTGGAGGCTCAAGTATGGCACTGGGGAGTACAGGCCACGGGCTGCACAGAGGTAAGAGATCACTGTGCAGCTCCCCTACCACAGGACATGGCTCAGCAGTGAGGCTGTACCCAACCCTGACACAGTGCAAGGACGGAGCCTGCCCCAGAAACACGCCAGGGTCCTGACCCTCCATGCCAGGTGTACCAAGTATGGGCAGGCAGACTCAGCCCAGCAGAATCCAAGTGTGGAGGGGCTTAGTGTGGGGGGATCCAGGTGTGGGTTGAGAGGGTTCTGTGTGGGACAATATGGGTGCAGGAGTCAATCTGGATGCACAGGAGCTTGTTGGGGGGTTCTGGGTGCAACAGTAATGGGACTCTGCAGGGGGGTCCAGATGAAGGTGGTTGGGGCTCATGGGGCAGGGTCTGGGTGTGGGGGGATAGAGCTTGGCAGAGGGGTCTGGGTGTGGGGGGTTAAGGGTGGAGTCCAGATGCTGGGGGAGTTGGGCTCAGTGGGATGGGGATCCAGGTGCAGCTGGTTGGAACTCAGTAAGGTGGGGATCCGGGTGCGGGTGGCTCGTCAGGGTAGTCCAGGTGTGGGGTGGGGGTGAGGCTCAGCAGGGAGATCTGGGTATGAATGGGTCTGGATGCACGGGGGTTGGGCAGATAGGGAAGCAGCTCCCTGTACAATGATCCCTCCCCCTGCAGCTGAGGAGCGATGGGTGGGGAGTTTGCAGAGCTTCCTGCAGCCTGGGGAGAAATCTGGGGGTGGGTCTGACCCAGCCCTGGATGCTGTGCAGGGGAAGAGGGAGTCCCATCCTCCCCAGCCCAGTCAGGACTAGCAGCTGAGCCCGGCACAGGGTAGGAGCCACCAGCCAGGTCTTCCCCAGTCCCTCCCCCTGTGTGATTTATCTCTCTGCTGGCTGCCCTGGGCACCCAAAATAAACTGCTGGGGAGGGTCATATGACTGCTCTTGTGGCTTCCCTTTGCTTCCCTATCAGAAAGTCATTTTTTCTGCGGGGACGCAAATAAATCTGCAGGGACATGAATTCTGCACATGCACAGTGCCCCCAGGAGTAGCACATTGTGGGCAGCAATAAAAAATGGCTTTTTGTCATATGGACATCACTCTGAAGGAACTGGATTGAAAACACTAAACATTTTTCTTACAGATAGTTGTCTACCTGGATTGTCTCCCACTGTCTACCTGGACTAGATTTGAACCTCTGACCCTAGTGATGAACAGCTCTATATACCTGAGTCATTCAGGCTGTGTGAGCATACCCTAGTTTCCCCTGCAATCCATGTGTATTATTATCATCCAAGATACTGAGACTTCCTCACACATCCTTTTTCTCTTCTTAATTTAATTCTGTATTTTATTGGGCACAAATTAAGCATTCTCACTAGAGGAACATTTGCTTAGTTTTCCACCTGCCTTCTTTTATCTTATTTGTTATGTTGCTTTATAAACACACAAAATATCACCTTACTTAGTGCAGCTATGAGTGCATATATATTTTGTGTTATTGGTTTGCTGTTTTCTTTGTGTTCTTTCCTCTCCTGCACATGGGACAGAAGAACTAAGTATACATTCTCACTTGGAACTGTGGGGAAATCACTGGCATGGAAAATCAGTGTTGCTTTTATAAGTTGTAGTGGATTCTCCATCACCAGCAATTTTTATATCAAGACTGGATGTTTTTCTAGAAGATATGCTGTAGTTCAAATGGGAATTAATTCAGGGAAGTCCTCTGGCCTGTGTTATGTAGGAGGTCAGGCTAGATGATCACAATGGTTCCCTCAGGCTTTGTATTCTATGAAAAGCAAAAATCCAGCCTGGAAATATTGAGTGCATTATTGATGGAGACAATAATGCCTCATTATGGAAGGGGAGGGAGCCTGTTTCCCTCCATTGAGTGATTATGAGACCCATGCTAAAGAAGTAGTCTCATTATTTATTTGCCATTGTAAACTTCCCTTTTTTGGTATGGTCATTGAGAAGCTTGTAGTGAGATAACTTTGGTATCATCTGGATTCGTTAGATATCTTTGATTGTTTTCAGTCTGGCTTTCATAGAAATGTACGGTTGTAAGGGAACACAAGAGGTCATCTAGTCCAGCCCTCCCTTCCTCCCATGCTGATTTAGGACCAAGTAAACCTAGATCATTCCTGACAGGTGTTTGTTTAACCTGTTCTTAACTATCCATATAGTTAGAAAGTTTTTCCTAACGTTTAACCGAAATGTCCCTTGCTGCAGATTAAGCAGATTACTTCTTGTCCTACTTTCAGTGGACATGGAGAACAATTGACCACCATCCTCTTTATAACAGCCCTTAGCATATTTGAAGACTGTTATCGGGTCCCACCTCAATCTTCTTTTCCCAAGACTTAAACATGCCCAGTTTTTTTTCCCCCCTCATAGGTCAAGTCTCTACCTATTTTATCATTTTTGTTGCTCTCTTCTGGACTCTTTCCAATTTGTCCACATCTTTCCTAAAGTGTGATGACCGAAACAGGTCAGAATACTCAAGCTGAAGCCTCACCAGTGCCAAGTAGAGCAGGACAATTACCTCCAATGTCTTACATATGACACTCCTGTTAATATACCCCAGAATATTAGCCTGTTTTGCAACTGCATCACATTGTTTACTCGTTTTCAATTTGTGACCCACTATCATGCCTAGATTCTTTTCAGCAATGCTACTGCCTAGCCAGTTGTTCCTCATTTGTACATTTGATTTTTCCTTTGTAAGGTGTAGTACATTTGCACTTATTTTTAATGAATTTATCTTGTTGATTTCAGACTAATACTCAAACTTATTAATGTTCTTTTGAATTCTAATCATATCCTAAAACCCTTCCCAGCTTGTTGTCATCCGCAAATTTTATAAACATATTTTCTATTCTGTTATCCAGTCATTAGTGAAAATATTTAATAGTACCAGACCTGGGACAGAACCCTGCAGGACCCCACTAGATATGTCCTACCAGTTTGACTGTGAACCATTGAGAACTACGGTTGAAATATGGTGTGTATTTTTTTCAAGCAGTTGTGAACCTACCTTATAGTAATTTGAGCTAGACCACAATTCCCTAACTTGCTTATAAGAATGTCATGTAAGACTGTGTCACAAGCCTTATTAAAATGAAGATCTATCAGATCTATAGCTTCCCCCCTTATCCACTAACCCTGTCACAGAAAGAAATCAGGTTCGTTTGGCATGATTTTTTCTTCACAAAATCCTGGCTGGTTATTCCTTATTACTCTATTATCCTCTAGGTGCTTAGAAATTGATTATTTGCAATGCAGTATATGTTACATGGGAATGAGGGCAATGTTCCTGTTGACTTGAACTGTTAGCCAGGTGTTGATCCTTCAAGATGATATCACATGAATCCTGCTGACTAACTGTTGCTCATTCACTCTAACCTGAATGTAAGGAAGAAAACCCTAGAAACTGACAAGGGTGAAGTTTGTATTTATTTTTATCAGTTTGTTAATAAAGCCAACCCGTACAAAGGAAAGTGACTTTGATAGTGCATCTTGACTGTATTTTTTATTAGGTTGGAAAAGCTACCTGCTCACAGTATGGCAAACAGATTGTGCCACTCTTTGCCTGATGTTAAAGTGACTTAAAGAAGGTAGGTGTCCGTACTAATTCTATTAGCCACCTTTAGTAGTACTGATCATGAAGTTCTGAGAGATGAGATGGGTGAGGTAATATCTTCTATTGGACCAACTTCTGTTGGTAAGAGAGACATGCTTTTGAGCTTACATAGAGCCCTTCTTCAGGTCTCAGAAACTAACTTCAAACCTTGTATTTAGCAGTG